AACATTCTTAAATGATTTTTATTTTATTAAATAGATGAAAATAATGTTAACATTCTACAAAATGGGCAAAACATGCCGTTTTTCATCTTAAATAAGGAGTTTGCAACATTCTTAAATGATTTTTATTTTATGAAATAGATGAAAATAATGTTAACATTCTACAATTTGTGCAAAACATGCCGTTTTTCATCTTAAATATCAGAGGTCTTTTAGTTTGCTTTAAATACACTTATTAACTTGCATGTCTTGTTTTCAAAGGATGGTAAACGTCAGGAATTGTGTGTTGCTGTTGGAGATAGAGTATTGTTACCAGAATACGGTGGCACAAAGATTTCTATAGACGATAAGGTAGGGAGATTTTTGTATATCATACAATTTAATAAATATATAGTATTTCATGCACCACCTATTGCATAAATTTCATGTACTGTATACAGTAGTATGCATTCAGTAGTTAGCTACAAATGTGTGCAGTTTGAATTTTTTTCATTAACAGGTTTTATTTTTTTATTATTTCAGGAATATCACCTATTCAGAGAGGGCGACATCCTTGCCAAGTACGATTCATGAAGACTGGTCTAGAAACGAAGATGTATTTATACTTTCTATATTTCAAAATATAATCAAGGTTAAAAAGACATTCAGAACATGGAAGAAAACATGGGCGAGTGGTGATGATAACCTCTGTAATGAATCTAAATCGACAGTTATATTAAGAATACATAGACCTAGAACAAATATGACTGAAAGTGCTGTATTGTGAAAAATATAACTTTGGGACAGATGTATTTACAACTCTATTCACATTAAGGTTTTTTTGTGTGATACTATATAGCCATATATGGGCATGATGATGCGATATTACATCTGTTCCATATATGGACAACACTGGTACTTGTCACATAAATGTTTTGTGTCTCAGATCTTTATGTAAAGGTGCTTCAGATTTGGTTCCCAAAAAGTAATGATTGTTTAGCTTGTAACTACAAAGCAATAACTTGATTTCATGAACATAGTAACTACAATTTTAAATAAAAGGCTTATACTGTAAATCCAAAAGTTCCACATTTGTTTATGTTGAGCTCTGTAATTAGTGTAATTGGTGCAGCGGTTAAGGTTTGGGCTTTCAATTGTAAGGTCGGGGGTTTCGAGTCTCCGCTGTACAGATTCCCTGGTGTCCTTGGGCAAGGCACTTTAGCTACATTGCTTCAGTCCACCAAGCTGTATCAATGGGTACCAGCAAACTGCTGGGGACTAACCTGCGACGGACTAGTGTCCCGTCCATGGGGAATACAACTATCATCCGCTTCACACTACAGAAACTGGGGATAAGCTCCAGCCCTCGGAAAGGATTTAGTATAGTTAGTACAGTATTTAATGAATACACATCAAGATTAGGTAACATATGGAATAGGAAATGGTACAAACAGTACTTGTCAGTTTTGCAAGAAACCAAATTCAAAACACTATCTGTACCTCCCATGTAAAATCCAGACATTCATAAAAAAAATTGCTGTTTTTTTTATGAATTCAGCTGGGTTTATGACTGAAGAATCCCAGTAATTATTACTACAGCAGCACACAATTAGCCAAGGATATAAACTGGAGCATTACAGCGGTTGCAATTTGGGCTTTCAACCTTTAGCCTTAGGCCAGTACTTAGAATCTTGTGCGTCTTTGAGCAGGGCACTTCCACTTGTATCTCCATCCTGGGTTCTGGGCATTCTATTGCAGCATGATTAAATGTACTTCTGAGGAAGATGTGAATATTGCTAGTGCTAGTTTGGTACAATATGGATCCAGGGGTGCCAAATCTCCGGAAATCGAGGCAGAGACCTGGAAACTAACTTCATCTCCTGAAAATTCATTATATTTGCATGTTTTCAATACTGTTCTATCATTTGTCCTCTGGAAATCAGCTGGTGATGGATATTGCCATACAGAGCAAAAAGCTAATTTAACCAAATCTCCCAGAAGTGGCTGCTTTCAACTTGGGACACCCTGTGGATCCAAAAACATCACCAGCGTAATGTACAGTAAATTTAATATAAGAACATAGATCATGACTACAGCTCTTATGTTGCACAAATCAATCTCTTTATTGCATATGATGAAAAACACATTCGGTTAACAATACACTTTCAACTCAAATACAACACTTTAATCAACCTAATTTAACGTAATCCATGTAATGCTCCCAACACTTACCAAGTACAAAGAATAGATCATTCGGAATCGTTAAATCAATAGGGGTTACCATACTTATTTCATATCTTTCAAATCCATTCAAGTTGTATTGTATTATTTAATCTAGCAACACACAATGAATATGCTATATACAGTGGATGTGGCATCTACATTACCCAGGGTTGTCATACATTACTGTACAACAAGCACCCAAGGGACACGACATGTACCCTAGAAAGTGTGACAATGTGAAATGCTTTGAGGAGAAAAGCACTATAAATAGCAGATAGTACTATTACTGTATGTACACAGGTGCTTATGCAAACATAATTCTAAGATCTAGTTAGTCATCACATAGCTGCAACACATATACAGTCTCGAAGGGTTCTTTCTACTCATTAACAACAATCTTCTACCATATACCTGACCTTTGAATTAACAACCATGGTTCAACCATGGTTCAATTGATGACACAATAATCATCCCTACTGCTGAAATAATTTTTTTGCAAATGAAAATTCATTGATTGGAGGACGCCTTGTTTTGGAACTATGGCACGAACTCTCATTCATTACATATTGTTCAAATTAAACTCTAATGCATTGTTGACAATGGATTGAACAGAATCTCACTTCACATTGTTCAACCTATGACACACTTCGTCATGTACCCAATACCTGAGAAATGGTTAAGTATGGTATGTTCAACAATTGGAGGTTTCTAATGAATTCCTTTAACAGTGCTGACAATTGATATAATGTTGCACTAAAGCTGGAAATATATTATCACATGTGCCTTCAACACACAATAGTTGATCAGGCTTTGTCTGATAGGGTATACTTACTGTGTGACATATCTAATCATACAAATTTTAAGTCTGCCGAGGTCTGATCAAACATTTTTCTATGTGAACAGCATTTTCCCTCTGTAATCGATCTACATATAGTTTCTGTATTTATATAAATACACAAAATTCCTTATAAGTTAGTTTAAGTAATAGATATATTGGCCGTAAAATTTAAACTCCTTTTCTTCAGATTAATTTATGTGTATTTCATTTATGCAGTAAATTATTTATAAACCTAACTTGAACCAACAAGTTTCTTGAGTCCTTTCGTGCTCATAGATTTTGGTCGTTCGAGCGGTAGGCCAAGAGCACGGTCCCAGATAAGGGAGGCGAGTACGCCAAGAGCTCGAGAAACACCAAATAATACAGTGTAGTAGTTCATTTCAGTCATACCAAAGTGCTAGGGGATAAAGAAAAATATATTGTGAGTACATTTTATCTAGTAAGAATTTACAATAAGAAAATGAATATAGTACAAGCATTTTTGTTTAATTTTTAATCACTAACTATTTGATCAGTTCCTTAGATTTATTTCTCCAACTTCCACAACAAAGTTGGAATCAGTTATAACCTGTATTTAAAGATAAGTGTTAATTCCTTTGTACTCGCATAGCTGTTTAAGGCTTGGGTTTCCATACAATCGCTATACACTCTTGCCGACAATTTTCGGTGATGTTGGTTGGTTAGTCGAATCGGGGAGCCTTCCCGATTGCGTCGGGGACTGCTACAAAGTACAACGATTGCACCGAAAACACTGTAGCGACAATGTAGCCATTTTAAGGAAACCAGGCTTCAATTAACAATAAATAATATTTTGTAGATGGTTGTAAACAAAAGCCCAGAATATTTGTCTTACCTGTAGCAGGACGCCACTGTGGGCATCAACATTAGGCCATGGGTTCTTGGCTTTACCATGCTCCAAAAGGACATCAGGTACTACTTCATAGATCTGGGCAACCAACTTGAAGAGCGGGTCATTTGGTAGGTGTTTGAATGCAAACTCACGTTGACACATGTAACGTGGGTCAGTCTTTCGCAATACAGCATGGCCATATCCTGGTACAACCTGAGTAAAACAATAATACATCAATATTTGCATTTTGCAATATCAAGTTTTCTGTGATAAACATCTGATATTTACAGGGGTCCCAATCTCCGGCAAAACTCGCAGGAGGCCTCTCGCACTCCTGGAACCAAGACGAATCTCCTGGAAATCAATTTATCTCCTGCAAATTCACAATATTTGCAAGTTTTTACTAACGTACTGTATAATCAATTGTCTCCCAAAAGTTAGTGCTGATGGGTATTACCATGCACAACAAAATAATATTAGATGTGTTAAGCTTATTTAAGCAGGTCTACCGAAGTGGCTTCTTCCAACTTGGGACCTCTGTATTTGCCTATATACAGAATTATGTCATATCAGATTGCCATACAGTACATAAAAATAGAGAAATGCATGAATAAATATAGATAAATGATTTTGTTTACCTGTCCTGATTTCAAAGTATTCCAAATGAATTCCTTAAGTTGATCATTTGACACTTCACCTCCTAGTTGTTCCTGAAGCTTTGTAATCCAGACCAGTACTTCCTAAATTCAAAATAAATAATATTGCAACTTATTGATGTCCTATTAGGACGGAAAACTTGATACTAGCAGTAAGTTCCAAAGAGTCGAAGTGTGATAAAAATAATTGGATGAACCACTATATTATTCCCTTTCGAACATTAATAGAACATTTCCTACGCTTGATAAATCTTATACTGTAATTGTTTGGTATCTATTTTATTATGTATGAACAAGTTCCATTACCTATTGTTGTTAATGCAAGAATTTTGTTTGTTATACCTTGTTTAGCGAACCTACTGCCTGCCAATAATGATGATTTTGAATAAAAATAACATTTTATTTTTGGCCAATTAGTGCCCCCGCTGCCACGAATATTGGAAATTTCATTTAAAAAAAATTATTATTTTATTATGCCCACCGCTGCTTCGCAATCTCCAAAAAGAAGATACAGTATGTATATTTCTTCTTAATTATATAAATTTAATGCATTTAACCACCTCATTATATTTTACTTTCTCCTCTGGATTTTTTTGCCAATACTATTTGCTAAATAAGAAAAAAATATTTAAATTTTTTTCCCCGCCCTCCTCTGACGATCTTTAATACCTAAGTTTGCAAAACAAGGCATGAAAAAGACTTGCCTAACAATTAAATAATTCTGATTCTAAAAAATATAATTAATATGTTTGCCAAAATTGTGTAGTAGTTTAGTATTGCTTACCTGATTAGCCAATCCATGGAGTGGGCCAGCTAAACCGTTCATACCTGCAGCAAATGAGAGGTAGGGGTCGGATAAGGCACTTCCTACCAGATGAACAGTATGAGCACTGACATTACCACCCTCATGGTCACTATAAAGAACAAAAAATGAAAATACTAAAATATCCCAACAGAAACAATTATACAAAATATTGTTTTTTTAAAAATAATTTCTCTTATTTTATAAAATATTATGTCTTTGTTGCTGTAGGGTCAAAGGCCTAAATACAAATAAATGTCCTAGACCATAAGGTCTAAGAAGGAACAGGCCTTTAATAGAGCATATTATTGATATTGCTTCGTTTAATCATTTAGTGCATTGTATAGTTTATTATCTTGTTTTACTTATTTTATTTTATGGATTACTCTTTCTCCTACAGTATGTAAGGGAAAGCACTCTTCTGTAAACGGCCGTTTTCGCAAAATTGTAAAGAAAAAAAAATTGGAAATCAAAGAGTTTATTCATTTCTGTAAGTTGCAATTGTTATACAGGAAGACATTTTGAAGACATTCTAAACTAAAGTTTATATTATATATCTTTGTGTATGTCAAACATTTTAAGGCATCCTGTTATTGGCTTATGATTGCTGTTGGATGTGGTGTTTGAAATAAAGAAATTAACAAAGATCTAATCACCTGTGTATTGCGAGATAGAGACGCATCAATTCTGTAAATTTTTCATCCTCATATCCAAGCATGGTGGTGAAATTGAAAGACCAATCCTTTTCAGCATCAATTACACCAACGCTAGAGCCCTCACGGTAAAGGTTGCGGTAGATGATTGCTGCAATGGTGGGTAGTTTTGCAATAAGATCCATTGTGTCCTCATATGTGTACTATACAAACCACAAAAAGAGGATTCCATTAAATGAGATAATGAGAAGAAAGGAAAAATAATTACAATGATGACTGTGATTGCATGTTGATGCTAACATAGCCAACAAGCATAGGTATTATATAGATTGTTTAACCTTTTTAACCCCTGAAATCCATTATATTGGACTAAAGCATAATATTTGACTGAATATGATGTTAAAATATTTTTCAAATCATACCTCCCAGTACAAAGATTTGTGTACACCCTCTGCATAAGCCTTTGCAAATTTACTTTCACTGTTCATTGCGGTGATGGCTGCACTGAATTGTGACATTGGATGCAGAGTGTTGGGAAAGTTATTCAGCATGTGTACAACATGGGACGGTACATCAGCACGACTCGCCCAATCCTTGGAAATAGCATCAGCCTATATAAATAATAATATATTTGTTAATATATAATTTGTCCTCAAATATTGAATTTCATACTACTAACATATTTAACTCATATATTCCAAGAAAGGGAAAAACTGGTGGTATACAAATTAGGAATGTAGAAATTAAAATCAAAATTCTCTCTTGAATTCAAATAACTGATCTAGAAATTCATATCTCAATACCTTATGTGTTACTTGTGTTATGACTCCATTTCTCATTTCATTTACTTATTTATTATTGACTTACTGTAATTATTAGGTAAGTGCAAATATTTTTACATTATAATTTTGATGAAAGAACAAAAATACATTTTTGAATGAAAATTGGTCTATTAAATTGCAAGTCACACCAAAATAAATATCACATTGATCCAGTGAAAATCATGTCAGTCCTTGTTTTTGTCCATTGCTCCAGAAACCTTTACACTTTGTTTAAATTATATAAATTTAATTTCCCTTTTCCCTTGTTCCATTATGTATTGCAAAGAAGGCCGATAATAAGGCTTCAGCAATATACAAACAACAATAATAAAATTAACAATAATCATATTAAACAATATAATCCAGTATCTGCAATGGATGGATCTCATCCAAGATGTTGAGAGCACTTTTGGGGTGTTGTATGGTACACACCTGTTGTTGCGTTGGGATATCACCTGTACATAACAACCAGAACAGACTCTCAGGTAGAGGTTCTTCCCCACCAGGTGCTTTTGGAAGGAGCTTCTGACATTGAGGTATGCTGTAGCCACGGAACTCTATGCCTTCATCTGCATCCAACACAGATGTTTCCGTTACTAAGCCTTTTATGCCCCGCATACCACCATACAGCTGCAAAAAGATAAAAAAAATCAACATATAGATTTGGTTTTCAAAAAATATTGTTTATTAAAGTTGGTTGTTTTATGATAATACTCAAATATTCTAAATTACAATATTTTTAAAAACAGTCCCGATCCCACAATTTATCTCTGGAGTTGTCAAAGAATATGAGTCAATTATTGCTGTAAATATATGCAATCATCATCTCTTTACATTAGTGCAGTGACACAACAAAAGACTAACTATTATTGTTGAATATAATAGACTATAATTGTTATGAAGCTAAAGGCTCTATTTGCTATGATCTGTGAGCGCAGTAATATGCATTCATAAAGCATAGTAATTTGTAAAGTAATGCTAGTGTGAATCAATATTTGAGTTACTTTTAATGGTTTTTAATATATATGCAACTAGTAAATGTCAAATCCATGATGATGATGATAGATGTTCACTTCACTCTACATGGTTACTATACACCATTGTACAGTAGTGCTCAATCCTTATTTCAGGACTAGACAAAAGCTTGTCTGTTATGTTCTATTACTTTTTTATTTCATTCAATCCTAAACTTGGGTTTTTAGAATTGTAAGGGATAAACTATGGAGGGATACAAAAGTTTAAAATATATTGGCACGTAAATCTAAACATGAAAAAAATTGTTACTTGCTATATTTGTCTTTAGTTAAGTTTTCAACTAAAAATTAAACATTTCTTTCACCAATTGACAATTAAACAATCCTTCTTATTTAGTCTGTAATACCCTTAAATTTCTGCCAGAAAATTTTAGTATAAAGTCTGTAAATTATTAAAAACCTGTTTTTTCATTCCGTGACTTAATGAAAATTTATAGCTTTTGGTGTCACACAAAACATCATCATGGTATCATACATGGGCTTACCTGGTCTACTTGAATTTCACCTATGACCTTATTCCCATAGTTCTTCCTGAATTCTTTGACCTCATTTTGTTGTTGTGGGATGAGATTTGCCAAAACTTCTTTCAAATTCTATAAATAGAATAAAAATAAATCGTATGTAAGTGGGATTGCTTAAAAAGAAATTTTAATTATAAATACTTTTTGCTAAATTTTTATAATTGGACTATCAGGAAATTCTCTTTCATCAACAACAATGTATATAACTACTGTATATGAAGTGCCATAGTTTACCAGGGAACCTTGGATGCAATTTGTAGTACAGTACATAAACACACACACACCATGCACAACTTTCTCCATTGCCTAGGGAATAATCCTAGTCATACAGCTAATTCTTCAGCAGACCATTCACATTCCAAATAATTCCATACAACAGGTACCTTTTCATTTATATTCTTGTGTTGACATGTATAAGGCGCCTTACCCACGCGCTGATCTGAAAAGGTACAGCGCAAGATTCGAACCCTAAACTCTTGTCAGAACTGCTAACTGCTTTGGTTGTATGGAAACTCTAACTTTATATGGCTATTCACTAAATGAGGTTTGCCATCCCAAAACCAGGCTACTGTTGCTAAATTTTAAACTGAGTATTTAGCATAAGAATGTAGCAGTATTGTATACTGCAGTTCAGAGAAGCTTTAACACTTTTACTCATAACTTTGACAATAATAAGTTGATTCATGGAGATGACCTACATTAAAAGGTCAATTTTCTTGTTTTGGTCATTGATGCCAATTTTTGGCATGGCAAGCCCCAAATATTTTTTTTAATGTTATGTTGAAAATATTAAGCAATTAAAATGTGTAGACCAATAGCAGAAGTCATTAAAAGCTAGTAACCTTTAGTAATAATAATTTCTGCAGATGTATTATATTACTGTATATCATTATTTTCTGGTGATTTTTTTTTATAGTACAGTATTATTCATTGTACAAACTGAAACATATACAAGCAAATCAAAAACACAGTTGCAAATGCCAAGGTTTGTCAAGAGCAAATACAATTACTGTTGATAATTTCAAAACTGTACATATGTGATTAAAATAAATCAGTAGTGTAAAAACTGCAATTAATTACATAATACACATAAATCATAGTAAGCAAAATATTGACAATAATAGTAAATGATGAGAATGATATCGGACTAATGTATGTATAGTCTACAAAATCTATATTCAAAAGTTAAAAACAGAGCATGTTATACAATTACATTATAAAATTCAAACATTAATACAGTAATGTTATAGTATTCAAATTATATAAATATTGACATTGAAACAAGTTTAATCCTGAAAAAAATGTACATTCTAAAAGTATAGTATAATTATTACTAAAATCATTTAAAAAAAGTGTCTATAGGAAGATTCATTAATATTAACTTGTATTTTTCAAAATCAATAATAAAATACTTACAGTTGAATCTGAAACACTCCGAACACTAGAAACGGCAGGAAGGAAATTCTACAGTGAGTAAAAAAGAAAGAAAATTACTGTTAGAATTAGAACCAACATATTGTATAAACAATGAATAAGTACTCTTGTTGATGGTACAGGTTTAATGAGATTAATTATTGTTAAAAAAATAATTAGAACAATTATGATTATTTTTAGATAACTGGTTTAGTATGTTTAGATATCTTATAAAAT